CGGCATGCTTTCCCGGTCGTCTGAGTACCTGCACCCAGTCTTTCCCGGGTGCCCACCCGTTCTCAAACGGCACCTGCCCCCATGTACCAGAGCTTCCCTCTCTGCCGACGCGTTGCAGCCTGACGAGGGAAACATAGTCATATAGGCATAACCCTCGCAGGACGTCTCCACGGTGGTGATAAGCCTCCGCGAAGCTGATTCTCTGACCTACTTCCTCCACCACGATTGATTCGTCTACGGAAGCGTCCGTGATCCCCGTGCCACTCTGCTGCCGGAGATGTCGCCATCGCCGGAAGACGTGCCAGTAGAGCACAGATACGTTCAGGTACGCCCATGCGCTGGCGTTCGTGAATTCGCTCGCGTATCCCAGGAGATGGGCGGTCACTTCGACTTGCGACAGAGGTCGCTCCGTGAAGATCCGGTTCGCCACCCTCATGAGGAACTGCCGCGTTTTGTTCTTCGTACCGTCGTCACCCTCCTCGCCGGCCCCGGGTCCGCCTTCGCCGTTTGTCCCCGCCTCCTGCTGGCTGGTTTCTGAGATAACAGGCAGTAGCTCTGCGGCCGCAGCGACACGCTTCCACGTCGGATCTTCTACCTTGGTCGCGTAATTGGTGACATAGTACACCAGGGCCATGGTCTTGCGCTGTGTTGCTATGAAGGAGATGTCGTGGTTGTGGCGGAGTCCTACGGCAATGGCCTTGTTCCACCGATTCACCATGGGGTGTGTCCTGCGAATCTGCAGCACGCCATCTGGCGTGAACGCAGTTTTCTCGACCAATCTCCATGGCGCCTTAAACCGACAGAGACTGCCATTGCGTCTCTTATCGTCGAAAGAGTATTTCACGCAGGTCGGGCTATGCGTATGGATCTGCGTCGCTCCGGCGCAAAAGTTCGCTTCTTCGTCAAAGGCGGCCGAGAACTGCTCGGCGTTCTCAACCAGGGACGAGATGTCGGACGTCACCGAGCGCTCTGCCTGCGTGGAACAGTACCCTTCCTGGTCCAGATCCTGCCTAAGAAGTCAGCCTTCTCCATATGCCCGGCCGGGGCGGGTTCGGTGGAGCTGCCCAGCCGAAGGCCACGTACCTCGCAGAAGACACTGTCGATGTATTGGGTGATACGCTCCCGATGCGCCGCTTGTTCCTCGCCATCGATATCGGCAAGCATGGAACTCAGATGCATATTTCCATGCAACCACAGCAACCCATGGACATGCAGCGCCCCTCGTTCATTGGTTTCGGCGGCACCATAGTATTGAGCGATGCGCCCGAACACCGACTCATCCCCTACCTTGACGTAGTGCTCGAAGAAGAGCGTCATCTCCCTATGGAAAAATATGGCAGAGCTCATGGGGTCCGAGATGGACAGTCGCATGCGCTTGAACGACATGTCGAGGCTTCGTAGGAATGCCTCAGCTGCCTCAGGATCGCGAGTGCGGTGCGCTGCGAGTCGGAGCTTCACAGGGTTCGTAATGTCGTTTGGGTTGATCGTGAACCATATCGCGGGCACGCCATAGCGAACGATAAGCGCGTGGATCTTGTGCCGCATACTCAGGCGGAGCTCCCTCGACATGGGCTGCCGGTAACCATACAGCGAAAGGCTCCTAAGGAGCTCTTTCACGCCCTCGTCGGTTGTTCTCCCAGAGCGTTCCAGCTCTCCGCTAGCTGCCTTCAGCCTGTCTGCAGTCAGCGACCGGACGATGCGTTCGACCTTGCGGAAATTCTTCCTAGTCACGCTCAGCATGCTGACTCGGCGATTCCTCGACCGTACGCCCATGTTGAACACGAGAAAAGCGAAAATATGGTGTGTCGCGAATCGGCCGCCATGGCGCCGCAGCACAATGTCGGCCCATGTGCGGAGGCTCATGTTTCGAGATGACAAGAGGTCCCGCGCCGTTGTCTCTGCTCCGCCCATATCGGCGGTACCCAATGCTGGTTCCAGCGTGGCTTCCGCGGCCAACCGTGGACCGCCAGTTCCGAACGGCAGTAGCGTCGGAAATGTCTTCGCGAAGAAGGAGGTGTCGAACGAGTCAGCAAAGTCGTCGCCTCGACTAACACGAATATACGGCTCCATGTCATCAAGTTGCCCTCGCCCTCCTTCCGCCGCAGAGCCAACCCACGTTCTCGGGCCCCTCTTGCCATTATCAACACCTTCGGCAACAGCGTTGCAGGCAAACCGCAACTTGTCCACATCTGCAACGTCCGGCGGACCATCGAGCGCGAACATCCCTGACGACGTCACCTCGTTGATCGGATCAGTCGGTTCGATCGTCTGATCAGGCTCCGTGGTACTCTGAGCTCGAGACTCGTCTGCCTCGTTCTCCCCTGATCTTCCGGTTGCGCATCTAGGCGGATCTTTCCCCTGCCCGAGAGCTGTTAAGATGTCTTCGATCTCAACTGAGCCCTCGTCATCCATGGCCCGATCCGTTGGCGGCACAACATGGGCCGTCCGCGTTTTCTCCCACGCAGACGGCTCGTTCCGCTCCATGCGGTCGTACACCAACGATGGCACTCCGTGTGCCGGGGCTCCCCAGCTGTCCATCTCTGCCACATCAATCTCAATCCCAGCATAGTGCGGGTTGTTCTCCTTCAGCCAGACAAGTGCTCTCTCAACCACTCGTCGCCTTACCGATAGGAGGCCCGAAAGATCGCTCGATCCTGGCTTCTCCGCACCGTGCCACGAGACGTGAATCTCATCCATAACCCGCACAAGCGGGTGGGGGAGAACTTTTGTCGCCAGTTCTTGCACGTTGTTTGGAAACACCGTGATGTGGCCCTTGACGTGTCTCGGATACCTCGCACTCTGCCTCTGGCCACCCGGAATGCTGTGCCTCGCCACAAAGCCGTAACACGAGTTCGGCGAGATGAGCTTCTCTTCGACTGGTGTTAGGCCCTTTAGCTCCTCGGGGAACATGTGTTCACAGCCCAAGCGACTGTGGAGTTGGGCCGCTTGTGACAGGGTCCCACGGGCCAGGCACCGTACACACTCCGCGCAGGCCGAGACGGCCTCGCCCTCGGGAAATCAGCTACGGCACGAGAACGGCGTGCGGTCGCGTTTTGGGACGCAGCTCGACAGCCATCGGTCCCACGCCACTTCTCCCAACTCTTTTTCCGTACGCTTGCGATAGCAGAGCATGCACGTCCGTATCGGTAGGGTGCTCGCATCGTGGAAGGCTTGATAGAAGTCTCGCACCGTCGACACCTTTCTCTCGTGCGGTACTGGCGCGCACCAAGACCGCTCGTTGGACAGACTCTGCTTCAAAGCAAATTCCTCCTCCAATACCCGCAAGGCGCTGGCCAAGTCTTCCACTTGCAACTCTCTGCTCCTCTCGTTCCGCACCGCGGTTCGACTCCTTTTCGTTGGGGCCTGCTCACGCCTGGTATAGCGGCTTCTCTTCCTCTTCGGCCTGAGCGATGTCGTTCCCGAAGCCTCGACTCCCATCGGCTTGCATGCTGATTCAGGAACCGGGCCAGCCTGCCGTGGCCGTGGCAGTGACCATCCCGCCATGTCCAATTCCCCTGCTGCTCCTGCACACTCTAAGTCTCTGGGGTAGATGGATTGCGTGCGGGACTGGCCATCTTCCCCCGTTCGACTCTTTGACCTGCGGTTGGACAAGAGGGGCTTGGGTGCCAGTGCCTGATTCCCACCAAAGGCCGCGACTTCGCTAGGCGCGGGCTCACCGTTGCCTGCCCGAGCCTCCCAGGGCAGAAAATGTCGATGAACGTGCGGGCGATCCGGACTCGCTGGCTCAAGCATGGCACGTTCCCGGGGCAACGCCGACAGCCACGCCGATGCCCCTGCCGCAGGGAATTCCTCCGCTCTTTGACCTTTACCATTTCCAGGCCGATTCGATATCTGGTGTTGCCCGGCTGTCCCACCACTGGCCGGGCTGCGAGACATTTCCGACTTCTTTGGCCGCCCACCACGCTGCGGTCTTTTGGGCAACGAATTTACAATTGCCTCCGCATGTTGTCTCCATGCGCTCTGTCCCACCGTAGAAGGCTTGGGCTGTATGCGACGGAAGGTTGATACGCTTCGAGATAAGCGTTCCAACCCGTTAGCAAGTGCGTCTCGTGCCTTTTCGGCGGCAGCTACTACATCAGCACCAGCTCTGGCCGTTTTATATCCAAAATCTCTCTTCCCCTTGTCAATGCGACCACTCGCTTGCCCGGCCGCAACTGATAAGGACGAGCATGCCCCCGAGGGAGCATCATGCTCGGGCCTCCACAGTGCAGAGCCGTCCATAATGGAGTGTCCGTTGCGTCGATGGTTTCAAAGTAGACGGTAGACGGACAAATTTCTGTCGCATAAATTTTACCTTCAGTGGCAACACTTCGCTTCCGGTAGAAGAGTATGCTGCTCAACGCGACATATGCTCCGGCATACTTCAAACGCTCCCACGGGTGTCCGCTGCGGCACCCGGCACCACTCCACTGCTCCATGCAAGTCCATCGTCGCCGCCTCGACCGCACGCATAGAAAGTGTCACCGCCATTTGTCTACAGCAACCTTCCAAAGCCGCACTGCTCTCCGCATGACTCCAGCTCAGCCAGCTCAACCGTTGCAACTGCCGTGGATCGTGTGTTGAAAGAGACGGTTGTAGCAGACTTTGCAATTCATTGTTGGAGTAGAAGTAGGGGTATCCCTGCGAAACATCTGCCGCAACAGATCCTCCGGATCCTTCGACGGACACTCTCCGCACCTTTCTGCGGCTCTCAGAGCATTTTCTCCAGACCGCCCCCGCGTGTACCCCACTACTCGTCCCCATGACCATAAGGCTCCATCGACTCCTCCTTCAGCCCTGTACCGCGGCTGCCGCCGAATTGAATCACGGGAAGGCAGTCGGTAGATTAAAGACATGATATCTCAGCTAAGCTCAGGTTCAAGGAACAGAGCGGCTCAAGCACCTGTAGGTCATACGAGCATACCATGTCTTCTTCACAAATCGCCCGGGCTTCACCTCTTCGACGACCGCTCGACAGCCCAAGAGGCGCCGGCGGCGACATGTCTATGATGTTCTTTGTGCAACCGGACTGCCCTTCCAGATTCGCTCACCCGGACGAGCATCGCATCAAGGGCCTCAACGCTGAGGCTCTCGCCCGCATCTTGCTACCTCCCCCGTCGTGGCTACTGACCACCAAATACGAACCCCTCCGAGCAGATACCGGCGAAGCGCCGACTTCCATTTTCTTCAGTCTCAACCTCTCCATATACAGTCAATCAATTGTATCTTGCGAATGGACCGAAGAGTGGTTCTTCATGAATGGGCGCGTCCATCCCTACGCTCTTGCCTGGGAGGTTGAGCAGCACGACGGTCTTGAGTCCGACACAGGTGGCACTCTTCTGTATACCATGCCCGCCCTTGTCGTTCGCGACCAAGGATACCAGCCGTAAGGGACAACTCTTCCCCGCACGCTCTGTTGCCTCCAACAGGGCCGGCTGACAATGACAAAGCGTCCTCCCCAGGCTCTTTGCCTCCATGAACAGCTTCCCGTGTGTCCCGCCTGTCGTTTCTTTCACCGGGCTCATTGCTGGCCCAGGCCACTCCTTGCTGCGCAAAGACCTCCTGCCGGACCTGGACGACACCCAACTCAAGTGCTGCGGCTTCATTCAGCTTTTTGTAACGGTCTCAACTGAGTGTGTTGACAACTAGCTGAGCGACTGCAACGAGTATCCTAAAGCTGGAGAAGAAAGGAAGAAAAAGAGAAAATCCAGGAAAGGGGCGAGAGCTTCTGAGCGGAGCTCAGGAGCTCTTGTGGGTCCAGGTCGAGAGCGACTGCCGAGACCCACACGGGCCCAGCCCGTTACAATACTCCCCTTCTCCTCCTCCCCTTTCGAGGGGCCTCCGCCGATTCAATCTTCCCATGCATGGCCTCATACTGTGCCAATGCCGTCGTGTCCGACAGAAATCGCACAGGTTCCCATGTTGGCCCTACCCAGCCAACCCACTTGACCAATACCTTCCATTCTCGTCCTACCTTCTTGTGTCCGCAGATCTCTTCCACCTCCCACAACTCGCCGTCGTCCGTGAGGATCGCCGGCGGGCGATAGTCGTCCGACGTCTGCGACGGCAACGGGTCGTCAGCCGCGAGCCGCAGGAGCGATACGTGAAAGACGTTGTGAACCCCAGGCGGCGTGTCGAGTCGACAAGCATGCGATCCCACCGTCTCTAGAACCGTGTACTTACCCGCGAGCCAGTCGAGCTTCTTGGATGGCCGCTTCGATCGGATGTTACGGAGACGTAGCCATACCTTGTCTCCAGGCTTGTACTGGTCCGATGGTTGCCTCCGCGTGTTCGCATTGTCCTCTTGTCGTTCCTGCGCCGAAGCCATGGCGGCCTGTGCCCATTCCGTTGCCTCCTGGAATCGTCTTACGATGCCTTCTGCCTTTGCCACAGGTGACTTTCCGTCCGGTCGCAGTGCCTCCTTGACTTGCACCGGCTCGAGGTGGTAGCCATGTGTGAAGAAGAACGGGCTTAGTCCTGTCGATGTTGCCGTCCGATTGTTGAGGGCCATTGCGGCCGCTGGCAGCAACTCGTCCCAATCATCCTGCGCGTACGTTGTGAAAATCCGTATGTACCTCTCCACCTCTTGGTTAGCCCTCTCCGTTGCTCCGTCCGTCTCCGGGTGCCATGCCGTCGACAACCTCTGTTTGATGCGCAACAGTTCGCACAGCCTCTTCCACATCCTGCTGGTGAACTGCGTCCCCCGGTCCGTCACGATGGCCGCGGGGATTCCGTGGTGCTGCAGCACGTTCCGCATCAGCGCTCTCGCCGTCGTCCCCGCTGTGATGTCCTTCAGCGACTCCAAAACGACGCTCTTGGAAAGTCGGTCCGTGAGCACCATCATGTTCGTGGACCCGTTCGATTTTGTCGGTGGTAGTTCCGTCACGAAGTCAATCGACAGCTCCGACCAGATCCGCTCCGGCACCGGCAGCGGCTTCAAGAGACCGCGCCGCTTCTCCCTCCAGACATTGCTCCTGCCGCACGCGTCGCAGTTCCTTACGAACTGGCGCGCATCTGCGTCGAGCCCCGGCCAGTAGAACCGCCTGGCCAGCAGGGACTTGAGCATATCCCGTCCCGGATGCCCAGCGAGCGCCGAGTCGTGCGTGTCCTGCATGAGCCGCGTGCGCAGCGGCTCGTGGTTCGGCACCCAGATCCGTTCTCGCCAGCAGAGCCGCTGGCCCTCGTCGATAGAGCACTCCGACAGCATGACCGGCAGGCCCCATTGCGACGGCAGCCGTCTCTCGCCTTCCTGCACTGCATTCCTGATAAGCCAATACCGGTTGTGTTGCTTCAGGCCTTCCTTCCATAGTTCCTGTATCTCCGGCTCCGTGAACGGGTTCTCGACCGACTCGTCCTGCTCCGCCGTGGCATCTCCTGGCTGGTCCGTGTCGCCTTTGGAGATGTAGCCACTCTTTACTCTGGTTACTAGGCCACCCCCCTTGGCCGGCTCAAGTAGTTGTATGCGACGTCCTCGCAGACGCTCATCTTCGGCGCTATGCGGCATGTCCTGCTCTCGTCGCGACAGCGCATCTGGCACCGCCGCATCCTTTCCCGGCCGATGCACGATTGTGAAGTTGTATCGCGACAACATTTCCGCCCACCGCGCCTGGCGTTCGCTCAACGGTTGCTTCTTGGTGAAGTAGCGCAGGTTCAGGTGGTCCGTCAAAACTGTGAAGGACTCGACGCTCCTCAGCTCGGCGTCCCAGTGCTCCAAGCATCGCATGATCGCCAGCAGCTCCTTGTCGTGGATCGGGTAGTTGCACTCGGCCGGCGTGCATTTCTTCGAGAAAAAGGCCACCGGTCGCATGAGGCCGTCGTCTCCCTTCTGAGAGAGGGCACCGCCCGTGACATACCCGGACGAGTCTGTCTCGACGATTGTTTCTCTGTCCGGGTCCCATTGCGCCAGTACCGGTGCGCTAATGAGGCGCACTTTGAGCTCGTTGAATGCGGCTTGGCATTCCTTCGACCACGCGAATGCGGCATCTTTTTTTGTAAGCACTGTCATGGGCGACGCTATATTGGAGAATTTGGGGATGAATTGCCGGTAGTAATTCGCAAACCCCAGAAAGCTCCGGACTGCCCTCGCCGACCGTGGTGCCTCCCATTCCTGAATGGCCCGCACCTTCTCCGGGTCTACCCGGATGCCTTTTCCGGCTTCAACGATGAAGCCCAAGTACTTCACGCTCGTCGCCTCGAACTCGCACTTATCAATGTCAATCTGCAGGCCGGCGTCACGCAGTCTTGCCAGCACCTGCTTGACCTTCTTCCGATGATCCGCCAGCGATCCGCTCGAGTAGATGAGGATGTCATCGATGTACGCTGAACAGAACTCGTCGAGAAACTCGCGCAGCGTGTGGTTGATGTAGCGCTGGAAGGTGGCGGGCGCGCCCGTCAGCCCAAACGGCGTCACCAGCCATTCGTAGAGCCCGTATCGGGTGCGGAAAGCCGTCTTCCATTCGTCTCCCTCCACAACCCGCACCTTGTGGAACGCGGCAATGACGTCCAGTTTCGTCAGCCACTTCGCCTTCGACAGCGACCGGAGTGTCTCCTCAATCAGAGGCAGGGGATAACGATCCTTCTTGGTGATGGCGTTGAGCCCGCGATAGTCCACGCAGAAGCGCAGCCCGCCCCCCGGCTTCCGGACGAAGAGCACGGGTGCAGACGCTGGCGAACTGCTCGCGCGGATAAATCCCTTGTCTAGCAGCTCGGTAAGCGTCCGGCGCAGGACGATCAGCTCCTCCCTCGACATGCCGTAGAGCGGCCCCCATGGTGCATCCTTTTCCCGCCCGTTCGCGTCTGTCTCCAGGACGATCCGATGGTCGGACCCTGGCCGGTGTGGAGGCAAGCGATCCGCCTCGTCGCGGTCGAAGACCGCCAAGTACTCGTGATAGTGCGTCGGTAGTCTCTCCCTGGCATCGGTCCTCTTTTTCGGCGCAAGCGCTTTCTCTATGTCTGCCATGCTGGCCGAGAAGACGCGCAGTCCGCGCTGATCCCGCTTCCCCTCCTTCTCATTCTCCTTCCTTGCTCGCCGGACAAGCCCCGCAAACGTTGCCGCTGACTGTCCGGATAATTCGTAGCGCTCGGTGCGGTTGGGATCTCTCTCTTTGACCCAATGGTCCTGCGAGCCGATGTGCAGTAAACCCTTGGAGGGGTACAGCGTCACGTCTTCCTGGTTCATCCAAGTCCGTCCGAGAACGACTTCATCATCCTGCCCGGGAATGATGTAGAAGAAGACTCGATTCTTGCGGTACCCATCGATGTCAATGTCGGCGTACGTAACACCCCGGATAGCACCGTATAGCGACGTGCTGATTTGGTCCAGGGTTCGCGGCCTGATCGGAATACGCGGCAGGCGCAGTTTGCGGACGAACGTTTCGTTGACCGTTCCGTAGCACAGACAACCGGAATCGACGTGGGCGGTCGAATAGCTGTCTCTTATACACATCTAGATGTGTATAAGAGACAGGTATAGCGACGTGCTGATTTGGTCCAGGGTTCGCGGCCTGATCGGAATACGCGGCAGGCGCAGTTTGCGGACGAACGTTTCGTTGACCGTTCCGTAGCACAGACAGCCGCAGTCAATAAAGACCTTGGAATAATATTCTCGGTTGATCCCTATGTTTGCATACATCGGGGGGCTGTCCATCTTGTCCTCAAACTGCCTCCACTCTATCAGAGCCTGCTGGTGCTCCTGGCGGCGATTTTTGCCAGGAGCTACTTGTTTTCCGACCCATTGTCTGAGGCAGTCTCGTATTGACTGTCCGTGTCGTCGTCTTGGTCTCGTCTCTCCCTATCCCGGGGTTCGACCTCTACTGCCTTGGTCCGCTGCTGTGGGTGTTCCGCCTTCCCTACCGGCCGCTCCGACCTTTCGCCCGGCTGCTCTCTTGGTCTGCGCGTGCAATACGCGGCTATGTGTCCCGCCCGGTCGCAGCGAAAACATCTGCGTTCTTCCTTGGCCCAGTGGACACCGATCTTCCGTTCCTGAGTTCCACGGCTGCCATGCTTTCCGACCTTTGTAGGCTCCCAGTCCATTCGGTCGGGGCTTGGACGTTCGACACTGCGTTCAGACTGGCTGCGGTACAAATAGCTGCTACAGCCCAGGATTCCAGTTCTGCCCGATTAAGAGACCACATTCTGTCAGAAGCAGCAAGACATCGTGTCACCAATATCAGCCGTCATTATATTCCCTTCATTTTACCTCCTGCTATGGCGACTACCGCCACGGATCACAAAGCAGGCGGCAATCAGTGCACCGATGGGCATCATCGGTGCAAATGTGACAACCAGAGTGCGCCTGCCCGCTGTAGTTCCGACAAGAATGGTGGCAACCGCCGATGTGGTTCGCCTCTCAGCGATGTATATACTACGCACAACAACCCCCCCCGTTCATCACGATAATGGCAACGACGACACCGCTGATCCCGGCTCCAAGCTCTTCTTTCACGGCCTCCATTCCAACCTCACCGAAACCCAGGTGTCCAAGATGTTCGAGAGGTACGGTGACGTTAAAAGTTGCCGAATTATGCGTAACTCAGGAACCAGAGAGTCGCGTGGCTTTGGGTTCATCCTCATGGCTACTTCGAAACAGGCTGAGGCTGCCAGGAGGGCCTACACGGAATCGAAGTTGAAGGCCGCACCTTGGCCATCGAGAAGGCTCGAGCGCTACCAACAATGCGAGGCTTTCGCCCTCATCTTGGTGACCGCGGATACTTTCGTGGCTACGACAGCTACCGTCCCGAAGACGACACCCCTACAGGCGTGGTTTTGGCTGTCGATGCAAGCATATCCGTTAGGTCAGCGATTATGGCGTCGGCTATGACGATAGTGAGTCGTACGACGGACGCCACAATAGCAGCCGGTATGTTCAGCGAGGCTGGGCAACCGATTGTGCTCCTAAACGCTTTGATAGAGGGCTGGATACGCTCCGGCTAGCTCGACTCGCCTTCCGCTGGCCATTTCGCCGGCTAGCAGTGGGTTACCACCCAGGAATGTGTATCATACTGTGCAAAGCTGACAGAAACAATGTATTAGGATTCAGATGCGAGACAGGTTAGCAATGACGCGTGACGGGAAGCCGGAGGCGGCCGCCCCCCCACTGCTGGCGCAACGGACTTTACTGAACTGTACTCTACTCAATTGTACTTACACTCAATAACTCTTACGCCTGGCTTGGCAATCGCGAAGCAGCGGATTTACTGCCGCCCTGGGTACTGACTCATCTTATGGCCTGCTCCGACGTGGTCGCAAGTCGGGCACAGCTGCTCCTGTGGTCTGCGTATCGGTACCCGCCAGCCGGTACGGCGAGGGAGATCACAGCAACAAGAGGCCCCATGGCAGCTAGGCGAGAGGCTCGTCGTGGGGCCTGTGCGAACCGCCAAGACGATGGCCGAACACAGCTGGCGACCGGGCCAGACGTAGCGGCTAAGGCGCCGACCACGAGCGGGCGTCGAGCGCGCAGGAGAAGCAAAGCAGTCGTGAGCCCAGACGAGGGTGTTGGAGGCTGTTATGCTGGGTAGATGGGTAGAGTAGACGAAGTCATGTTCAACTTAATTGAGATTCCGTGGCAAAACCGCGGTGCCACCTTCAATACACGCCATATGTTGAACAAAGCGAGGCAGCATTCATACGAAATCCACGGCCTCATACATGGTGTAAATAGATCAAACACCAAACCAAACGGCAGCGCCATCGAGCTCGCCTCCATGCCGTCAGAAGGGGCTAACGACAATTGACTACAAGCCAGGTTTGCCGTCAGAAGTGACTGCAGAGCTTGCACGTCCAATAGTTGTTACCGCCCCGGATGGAGATGCCATTTCCAGCGAAAACAGAGGCCAACTCTGCCTCAAGCCCTTGGTTTCTGAAGCAAAGTTGATGAATATTCTCGCTGTCATTCGTCCGGAGACTTTCCTGATTCTGCGCCTCTTTCTCCAAGACTTGGATACGCTGACGCAGCCCCCAGATGGTCTCGGTGTCATCGTCGTGCCGTATTTTTAAGCTCCGTACTTCTTCTGTAAGAGAATTGATTCTGTCTTGGATCCTCTGCCGGGCCTCCTGCTTGTACATTCGGTCATATTGTCTCTTGCGCTTTAATTGTTCTGGTGTCAAGCGCGAAACGGATCGGTCCCCTGTGCACCAGAGCAAACTTTAGCTGCGACAACCTGGCCATGACACCCCAGGTACGGTGGCTGGATTGTTGTAAAGGAGAGAATATCGCTTACTCTTCTTCTTGCCTGGCGATCCAGAGCCGTGACTGACGGGCTTGCCTCTGGCGGCCTTGATGCCGGATATCTTCGCCCCTGCGGTTTTGTTGCCGGGCCTTGAAGCAATAGATTGTAGTCGGTCCTGGTACTGAGCTTCAGAGAGACAGTTCGCGGGCCTAGTGCTCCAAACGGGCACCAGGGTACCTTGAGGAGCCGCAAGTTGCCTCGAACTCTG